CATCGCTTTGTTGAAACATCACAATTGATATTCTGTCAATTTCTCGAGCCTTGTTTTTTGCCAATGCCTTCATCGCAGCTTGGAGTTCTTCCTTCAGTGTCATTGGTTCTTGATCATATGCTACCTCCTGGAACGGTTGAATGTTGACCAATTCTTTTTGGTACAGTAACTCTGTGTATTATATTACTTCCATCTTCTTTTGAGGCTTCCTGCGTTGGTCAATATTTTCATCCCATAGAATCTTTCAATTTTGCAATAGGAGGCTGGAAGTTTTTCTTCAGTTTTAGGGTTGAAAAATGCCGAGCGTGTTCTTCCCTTTTGTTTTTCTAACTCCAGGTCTTTGCACATTTCATTATAATACTCTACTTTGTCTTCTCGAATGGCCCTTTGAAATCTTTTATTCAGCTCTTTTACTTCATCATTTCTTCCATTCACTTTAGCTACTCTATGTGCAAGGAAAAAGTTACAGAGTCTCTTCTGACATTCATTTTGGTCTTTTCTTTCTTTCTTGTCTTTTTAATGACCTGTTGCTTTCTTCACATGTGATGTCCCTGATGTCATTCCACAACTCGTCTGGTCTTGATCATTAGTATTCAATGCGTCAAATCTATTCTTGATATGGTCTGTAAATTGACGTGGGGCTATACTCAAGGTCATATTTTGGCTCTCATAGACTTGCTCTAATTTTCTTCAGTTTCAACTTGCACTTGCATATGAGCAATTGCTGATCTGTTCCGCAGTTGGCCCCTGGCCTTGTTCTGATGATGTAGGACTACGTCTGTGGAAAGAGAAGATGGAGAAGCTCAGTATCATGAGTCAGAACAGATTTGATTCTTGTGTATTCCATCTGGAGAGGTCCATGTGTCTAGTCACCATTTATGTTGCTGAAAAAGGTATTTGCAATGAATAAGTTGTTGGTTTTGCAAAATTTTGTCATGTGATGTCCGGCGTCATTACTATTACGAAGGCCGTATTTTCTAACTACTGATCCTTCTTCGTTTTCAACTTTTGCAATCCAATCACCAGTAATTATCAATGCATCTTGCTTGTATATTTGATCAATTTCAGACTGAAGTTGGTAAAAATCTTCAATTTCTTCATCTTTGGCCTTAGGGTTTGGTGAGTAAATTTGAAAATAGTCATATTAATTGGTCTTCCTTGTAAGCAAATGGATATTGTCCTATCACTGACAGCGTTGTACTTCAGGATAGATCTTGAAATGTTCTTTTTGATGATGAATGCAATGCCATTCCTCTTTAATATGTCATTCCCTGCATAGTAGACCATGTGATTGTCTGATTCCAAATGGCCAATACCAGTCCATTTCAGCTTATTAACGCCTAGGATATCAATTTTTATGCATTCCATTTCATTTTTGATGGCTTCCAATTTCTTATATCTGTACTTCATACATTCCATGTTTCAATGATTAATGGATGTTTGAAGCTGTTTCTTCTTATTTTGAGTAGTGCCACATGAGCAAATGAAGGTCCCAAAAGCTTTCCACCATCTGCGTCGTTAAGGTCAACTATACTTTGAGGAGGCAGCTCTTCCCCAGTCGTATTTTGAGTGCCTTCCAACCTGAGGGGGTCATTTTCCAGCACTGTATCAGACAATGTTCTGCTGCTATTCATATGGTTTTCACTGGCCAATTTTTTCAAAAATAGACCACCACTTCTTCTTCCTAGTCTATCTCAGTCTGGAAGCTCCACTGAAACCTGTCCACCATGGGTGATCACCACTCATCTGTCAGTTTGTTGCACTGTGGTGGATTGCATGTTGCTGTAGTACTGGAAGCTATGCCACTGGTATTGGCAGTTTCAGGTGAGCTTAAACTTCCATGGACTTTTTTTTTTTAATTAGGGGATGGAAAGATTATATTAAAAATAATTAAACAACTCATAAATTTTCTTCCAAATTAAATAAGATAATTTGTGCTTAGTACAGGAAATTAAATAAATTCTGGCTATTTATTATTATTTTAATCAATACCATAATTTAAAGAGATATTAAGTAAATGCTCTGAATAAAATAATAAATAGGAAAATAACAAACGTTTGGAACTCATGATTCACTAAGAGAAAGCATTCAAAGAAAAGACATGTTAGTGTATGTGATAGCTGAAAGTTGACATAGCTTCCTTAAGTTAGCCGTAATTAGCAATCTGAAACATGGGAGTTGTACCTGTAGCTAAAGTGAAGTCCCGTAGAATTTAAGGACAGAAGAAAACCCTTAGTTTCACAACCTTGTTTTCAATCTATTTATGTAAATGTAAGTCAAGATTTTATCGGACAGTTCACCTGTTGTTGCACCAGTGTATCTTGATTTTTGTTTTCAGAATATCTTTTCACTAAATTTGTAATTAGGAATTGCAGGGCCACTTGCCTCTCAAAGCTCATTACTTCACTAGAATCCACGGGGCACACTCCAGGGAGAATTTTAGGGTGGCACAAATGCTTTGCACTCAACTACTAACTTAAAGGTTGGTGGCGCAAACCCAACCAATGGTGCTGTGGAAGGATCTGCTTCTGTAAACATTAAACCCAAGAAAACCCTATGGAGCAGTTCTACTGTGCAACATATGAGGTCACTGAGTCAGAATTGACTGAATGGCAACAGGTTTTGTTTTTGGTTTTGTGGGGCTACTACTTATGATTGTGCAAGTAGTGCAATGCTCAACTACAGGGCACGCCTTTTGACTCAAAGTCATTGTAGATTCATTGGGTTATTATGATTTTCCAGTAGATTGGCAGCCAAGCATCTTGGAGAAGGAGGATCTTTTTCTAACATGTATAAATTCACCAAAGGAGTAGTAGTGGGGCAGTGCACGGATATTCCCACATTGTGCATGTGGTTGTGTGTATTGGTCCTGGCAGTGTATCCATATGGTATTCCAGTTCTGGTCAACTTTGGGGTTCTTGGGTTATTTTGGTTATCTATCAGCTTTATAGTATTCCCTCACTTGGTCAATGTGGCAATGATAATATTCATGTATTTTAATAGACCCATGTACACCTATTTCTGTAAAATGGAAGTTGCTTATCCTTGGGAAGCAGGCCAATTGTGCACAGAACCTTGTGTTTGAGAAATAAAATAGCATCAATCAATGGTCATAATGAGTAGTAATGATTTAAAACACACCAACTCCCCAATTAAAAAATAGATAAAAAAAATAATCCATAGAAGTTCCAATGACTATTAGACATATGAAAAGCTCAACTTTACTAGTAATAAAATAAATGCAAATTGAGACAGTGAGGCATTATTTTTCATTTATTAGACTTGACCAAAATAAGAGCACTGGTAAAGGTAGGAAGAGATGGTATTCACACGCTGCTGACGGGAATGGAAATTGGTGCAACTCTTTTGGCAGTGGTCGGAAGGTCAAACATGCACTCCCTTTGACTCAGACATTCCATTTCTAGGAAATTATTTAGTTGAGTAGAAGTACTCACATATGTCGGTAAAGTTATGTGTACAAGAATGTTTACTACAATATCATTGGTTGCTGTTATGTGCCTATATATAACTAGTTTATTGGTTGAAAAAATTCAAAATAAAATGTATGATTCCCTCTTCTGTTTAAAAATTATACATATGTGTACGTGTAGTATTAGAGAATGGGGAAAAGGAGGGCTTTGACTTTTTGCTTTATATATTATAGTTTGATATATATATATATTTTAAAAAAAAACCTGTATTACTTTTGTAATCTTGAAACAAATAAACTTATTGAGAAAAAAACCCACCTCTGAACTGGATGCTGGCCAGCAATGTACTTCAATTGTGTACTAAGTGTATATTGGAAATATTTTTGCAAAGTATCACAACATACCAGACATTTTTCTTTGGGGTAAAACTGTTTTTTAGCATCCAACACAACTGCTCATGAATTATGGTACATTCTATTTTATAATCATAAGCCATGCAAACTATGGATGAGATCACTGTGTATATAATATGGTTGATATTTGCAACAGACTAATGACAGATAGGGGACAATGACACAAGTTTAAGTTCTGAGCTGTGAAGTATAAGTAAGTGGAGGGAATTTGTTTTTGTTGATAACCACAATATAATGGCATTTAAGGCAGGAGCCCCTGAGGAGTGCAGCCAGTGACTTGAGTTTTCATCTAAGAACTCAGCTTCCTAGGGGTAGGGGGCTCAAGCAGTTACCAAATTCCTTGGGAATGCAAACAAACAAACAAAATCACATTTATGAAATAGCTCCTCTGTTCCTGGTACTGTTATGCTCTTCCACAGAGAGAAGGGCACTATGCTTGAAATCCAGAAGACTAGGTTCAAGTCTGAGTTCTTCTCTTTCCTGTGGGGCCTGACGTAAGTAATGTGTCTCTGTACCTACCCATTTCTTAGCCTAGAAAGGAGCTCTAAAAATACCAACGCCAGTTCCCTTCTCAGGCTGATGCAGGGCTGAAATAAAGTCATGTTAGTTAAAGAGCTTTCAAATCTGTGAAGTCTTTAACGAATAGGAAGTTTTTATACAAACGTGACAGTATTATTTTGAAAGTGGGAGATTTTCCAGGCTAAGCCCTAGTATATGGTTTTTATTAGTTCTTTATTAGCAGAGGTCTATCCTGGCAAATGGTTTGCTCTTAGCTACTAACTGAAAGGTTGGTGGTTTGAATACACCCAGTGGTGCTGTGGAAGAAAGGCCTGGCAGTCTACTTCCGTAATATCACAGCTATTGAAAACCCTATGGAGTGCAGTTCTAGTCTGACACGCATGGGGTTGCCATGAGTTGGAATTGAGGGTAACTGGTTTGGTTTTTCATATCCTGTTTACAAGGGATTTTTTTCTTTTTTCTTTTTTAAATTAGTGTTTTACTATATATATGGTGATGATTGCTGGCCACTTCCGGTATAAAGTATATTAGATGTAATTCTTCTACACTGTCACTGTTAGGTGATTTTATTAAAATAATTTCATTTTTAAAAACCAGAAAATTAAGAAACAATTCTGTTTGACTTATTAGAGATAACACCATAGCACAGAATGTAGAAATTCCTTACATCTTCTGCAACAATAAAATAAAGCACTCCTAAATTTAGAAACAACACTATAAGGCAGGTATTTTGCAGGCAATAAAACCTTTTATTTTAAACCACAAATAGTCAGCAGGTGGCCATAACTATCCATGTTTCATTAAAATCACATAAAACCTAGGTACAAAAGCACCACTGATTATTGCTCTAGAAAAACTGCATGAAAAATTCAAATATACACGTTAAAAACACCACAGTATGCACGGGACTAAATTTTTAAAGCAAGTACATGGAATGCTGAATCAATTTTACACACAGCTTCCAATATTAAATTGATGTTTATTTTACTCAAGAATGATGTAAATTTCCAAAAAGCATTCCTATGAGAAGGTAAAATGTCCATCCTTAAATATTTTTATATGCCAACTAGTAGAATCCTAAAAAATTAGCATTTACAAAATACTTGGTAAAAATAGCTTTTAAAAGTTGTCCCAGGAGGTACATAAAACCAACCCCAATTTTTCATGACAATTCATTCTCCCTTGTTATCTACAGATTCAGTTTTCTGTGCCTGTGAAAAAGAAAGGAAAAAAAAAGATACAGTTACTACTAAAACTACTATAAGCCAAAGTAAAGTCTACCCCACCAACACACACACATTGGGGCATTTGTTTTTTAGTAGTTCTATTTTGAAGCCTACTTCCACTCTGGATGTAAAACAGACAAGGCAGGAATATATTACACAAACACTCATCTCCATTTATTGTTTTTCAAACAACCACAGAAGCCTTACCTGCAAGTTTCCAATGTTCATCAAAAAACAAAACAAAACAAAACAAAACACCGCACTACTATCTGATTCTAGTCACTGCAAACGTGCAGAGTTTTCTACTATACCCTTAACTCTCACTGTTTCAATCTGCCCCTTTACTGACAGTGGGCTGGGTGGGGTACCTCTGGAGGTTGAGACATTAACAGTTGAGCGAGAGATGTGGATCTGCAATAACATTACAGGCAATAAAAAGAAACATTATGAACGTGCTATCACCGGCTGAAGGATTGAGCAATTTCTTTGACACTGATTCAATCAGTGGGAGGCATTTATGGAAAGTACCTCTTCAGCTTTAGTTTCACCATTTTCAGATGGTGCAGTACCTTCCTTTCCAGCTTCCTGCTTTTCCTCCTTCTTCCCTTTAGCACCTTTGTTAATCTTCGCTCCAGGCTCTTTCTAACAAAGTACAGGGAAAGAGAATATGTTAGACACGGTGTGGTATTAGCTAAAATCAGTCAGCTTCCATCTGGACACAAGATGAAGTGTAACAGTAGCCAACAGGGCAGCCTTTAGGCAGAAATGGGGGCCCAATTTTGCTGGGCTTCACCTGAGTTACACCTAGTTTCTATGAAAATTTAACAGACTGCTTAGGAAGTCCACTGGACTTTCCCTTTCACAGAAAACATGATGATTCTTCTAGTGTATTGGTTGTTCTCGGTGGACCTCCTCTCCCACTAAAGGAAGAAGTATGTCATGGAGAGAGTGGCAGCAGGCCTTGGTGAAATGAGGAGGTGGAAGCTGGGGAGGAACTCAGCAAGGGAGAGGCTTTGCTGCCATCTTCCAATGAAACACCTTACATGGAGACATGCGGTTTGAGTGACTAGAAAGCTGGGAGAAAGTGCTCTGAAACGAAGGCTTATATGAAGAAAAGTTCCTAATTTTAAGATTAAGCCACGGAAGGGAGTTCTGCTTCAGAAATCACCTTCTCATACTACTCTATAGGAAAAAAACAAACAAAAAAATACCCACAAATATAGTTTCAAGCCACTTACAACAAGGAACAATGCTATGAAAGGCAGAGTGCTGAGAAGCCATTTTGGGCAAATTTCTTAATAATTCTGTGCTTCAGTTTCCTCATTTGCAAAATGGGATATTCATACCTACTTCAATAGGGCTGATGTGAGGATTACATAAGTAAATCAATCAGAATGGGGTTGGCATAGTATAAGGACTTTATAAATGTTTGCTGTTAATAATTATGACTATTTTTTATTAGCCATCATACTGGCCTACTAAGACCAGTATATGAAGTCAGAAGTGCTCTCCCCAATTCTTCGAGGTGCTGGCAGCAGTATCTTCAGGGCCCAACTTCACCTCCTCTGGTCACCACATAACCTGCATGTTCATGAGGCAGCTGCCAAACCCCTCTTTGGACATGAAGCTTCTTGGAGCAACATGCCCAAGATCCCAGAACAGACTCCCTGCACATTATTGATTGACTGGAAAATACATTCCTGTTAAAGCATAAAACTGTGCTTTATGCTTTTTGAGAATGCCTATAATAGTGGTAATGGTTTTCTGGTCAGCACATTTAGCCTGAATCATTAAACATGACCTTTTCTTGAATGACTTTTTGGATATGGAATTATAATTTATTCATTGTTTAAAAGCCAAAGGGGGAGGAAAAAGCACCTCTTACCTTAGCAGATGTTTTTCTTGGTTTAGGTTCAGGTTTTGGTGGAGCAGGTTTCTGCAAAGATAATTTAAATTACACAAATACTGGAAAAAGACAACCCTCAGCACCAAAACAGACATAAAAAGACTGCAAAAGACAACAATCAATTTTGACTCTGGCTTTGTTCATTAAAAAAATTTTTTTTGTCCTATTTTCAGCCATCAGGTAACAGCATAAAGACCTCTCCCCATTTCATAACTATTTTCTCAAGTGAACTGCTGGTGAGATTTAAAAGTCAAGTCATTATTTCTTGGTCCAGAATAGCTCTCCGGGAACAAGTTTAAGCTTCTATCTTCGATGTTTCTGTACTTCCTTTTATCACAGCACAGCAGTAAGAAGAATGGCTCAGGCTCTCGGCCAAATAATTCAGTGAATTCGGTCATAGTGGCCTTCCCAACAGTCTAGAAATCACAGCACAATCACAGGCGAAGCCCATCCGGTAACGAAGACTGCTGTCTCTAAAGTATTTCAAAATGATTTGCAAATCCTTCCACCTCTGATGTAGATTTCAAGTTCTGCAGCCAAGCTTATTTCTACTTTCATCCGCTCCAATGCCAGCTCAAGGTAAGAAGAATCCCTCGCCCACCCAGAAAACAGGCTCACTTGTTTCTAGAGCTTTTAATTAAGAATCTATTATAATGAAAAAATGTCAATGGTTACCTCCTAAAGTTTAAGATGTTCACAGATTTTATTAGCCAAAGAGCCCACCAAAAACCAATTGCCATCACATCAATTTTGACTCATGGCGACCTTACGTGTGTCAGAGTAGAACTGTGCTCCATAGGGTTTTCAATGGCTGATTTTTTGAAAGTAGGTAGTCAGGCCTTTCTTCCAAGGCATGTCTGGGTAGACTTGAACCTCCAACCTTTGGGTTAGCAGCCCAGTGTGTTAAGTGTTTGCATCACCCAGGGACTCCAAAGAGTAGTATCTGCCTGCCCTCTGACCGTGATCCCCTCCACATATGACTTCAGCCCTGGCCAGCTTCCCCAAGGGCCTGAGACCAGGCGGTACACAGGGAGACTGGGGAAAGATAATTAGTTTAAACCACTGGTTTTCTGTAGACATTTAAGTCAAATATTTCTCTCATAGATTCAGAAGAAAATAAGTGTACATCTCTCCTGGCACTAGGAAGAATGATTTTTAAATAGAAAACACTGGCCAGGGTCTCCCCCTGTGGAGAAAAATATGTGTTCCTCCCCAAGGCCTCTAGGTGGTTCAGGTTCATATTGAATCTGGCCCTTTTCATCAAGGGCCCAAAACAAAATTGTAGACAGTTCAATTCTGGAAGACTGATTGTTAGGAATGACCTTTCAAATAAAAAAAAAACTGCATTTGAAAAGTAAGGAATGTTTTTATTAATCTTACCACCCTAAATCTGCAGTCTGCTCCAAAATAGGGCAGCTCTCATCGCCCCTAAATTTTCAGGATATTAAATTTTGTTATTCCAGGCTTTGATATGTTGTATTAGTAACATGCACTTGTTTTCTCAATCCATAGCAATTAATTTAATTTTATATTATTTTCTGTAAATCAAACCCTCCCCCACAACTCAGCACTCAAGTGTTTTGATAGGATCATGCTCCTCCCTGCTGCCCTGCTGATACACCAGTCCTCATTCTGCCAATAGACCATCAGCCTGATCTTCTGGTAGGATCTGAAGTCTATAGTCCTGCTGGTCACCCATGAGGCTCTGCTTCAGCACCACAGGGAAGGTTCCTTCTCAGTAAACCAAAAAAACCAAACCTATTGCTGTTGAGTCGATTCCGGTTCATAGCAACCTTATAGGACAGAGTAAAGCTGCCCCATATGGTATCCAAGGAGTGGCTGGTAGATTCGAACTGCCAACCATTTAGTTAGCAGCTGAGCTCTTAACCACTGTGCCACCAGGGCTCCCCCCTTCTCAGTAGAAGGTGCTAATATTGCTGGTGCTCAGGAAGAGCCTCAATTTAAATTTTGTTTTTTTATGTGACTTACAGAACGTATTCCCTTGACTGACTGGAGAATCATAGAGTACAATGGCTTTTAGTGTAATTTATAGTTAAATCCAAGTCCCTGTTTGTGTTTGGTTACTAACCAAAAGGTCGGCAGATAATTAAACCCAAAGGGAGCTAAAACACAGCCTTTGAATCACCCCCAAACGAGGTACTATAGGACAGGGAACACCATCTCTGAAAGGTTTGGGCAGAGTCTGGGTCAGTTGCTCATAGACAAGACAGCACCCAGCTCTTCCGTCTTCCTGATTCTGATACTCACTTCCTTAGGTCAGGACTCATGTAAAACACTGGCCCACCCACCCCAAAGTCAGCCATAATTCTGAACTTGTGACATGGTCCTAATACCCATTTCTGCTTCGATGTCCTACCCTGAGCCAGGTTGAGTGTGGACTGAGGGTGACATTCGTACATCCTTGAAGGACAAACTAGCTTGCAGCTCTTGTGTGGGGATATTTGCTGTCAGTCAAGATGTCAATCAATGCCTTTTCCCCTAAATCTCAGCGGGCAGCCTGGGTTGTAGGTATTTTAACTAAAATCTTTACCTGGAGCTTCCTTCCTTCCCCTACCAGAAGATCAGGCTGATGGTCTGTTGGAAGAATGAGGACTGGTGTATCAGCAGGGCAGCAGGGAGGAGCATGAGAGCCAGCCAGGAGCACTAAGCGGCGAGGAACAGCTGGGGCACGTTCCTCTCTGAGTTCAGCCATACCTGTCCCTCCCCTCATCTCTTCCCTGGGCGTGGCACACAGAGGGAAGCTCCAAGTGACAAAGTGGAATCATGACTTTTTCAAAGGTTCTTTAGTTCTGAAAGAAGGCTAAAGTATATGTATTCAGACAACTTTCAGAACATTCCAACAAATGTTCTAATGTATGAGTTGGGGACAGAGAAAACAGAACTCCTGACCACTTTAGCATATTATAAGTAGAATCTGAAGGCTAGGACTTTATGTAATGTACCTCTTTGGCTTCAGAGATCCAGCAATATCAAACAACTTCCTAGGCTTTATATTCTTGGTTATGGGGCTAGTCACTGTTTTTCACTGGTACACCTGATCAAGAGAGCTGCCTGGCAACACTGGTCAAATTTGCTAGAAACTGGTGTGACGCAGGTAATTTTCAAAAAGAAGGAAAAAAAAAAACTTCAAGGGAAACACCACCTTAATCTTCCTTTTGCTGCTTTGCTCTAGACAGAGGGAACATGTACTCATAAGAACTAATACCAAAGGGTTTCTAAAGTACTTACCGCTGACAATCTGGCAGACCGTCTTGTGGGCTACAAGGGAAGGGAAAAACATCTTCTTTGGTGATCATATACAACCAAGTTGATTTTAAAAGAATCACTCTGAGTATCTCACATTGTTGAAAGAATATTATGTATGACCACCATCACCTTCTTGAGGTGAATACAGTGAAACCTACCTCAAACCCTTTGGCCACTGAAATACGCAAGAGGACATATTTCTAAAGACTCACAGCACACTGTTCAAACAAATGGTCTCTCTCAATTAAGGGTATGGCAGGTAAGAAAAGGAAAGGAAGATGAATTTAGGCTCTGATCCAAACCATAAATCTATACTTTTGTGATACAATTGATAGCAGGTACACTGAGGTGCTATTTAAGAACTAGTCTCCACTCTGACTTTTGTTCCTTAAAGACGGAACTAAACCTTATAAGTTATACATGAAGGGACTTTAGAACTGTGGAGAAACCAGAATCGTGAGAGGTCTCTATCTTGTTACTATGTTAGAAAAGTGAATGACTAAAAATTTTAGGCAGTTATAGAAAAGAAACAACTTCACCAGTAACAAAATAAATACATTTCCAACTTATTAAAAGCATATGTTCAAAGATTTAAATAGACTAAAACTTCATTAATCTTTTCATTTGGAATTTTAGAAAATTTATAAAGAACTGTGTTGAGATCATTGTTTTTCAGGAAATCGCTTCTTCTTCAAGGATGGTGCAAATTAACAGCAAATGAGATTGCAAAGAAATTTAAAATAACAAAACTGTTTCAGACACAAACAAGCATACAGAATTGGTATTCTACTTAGTATTCAGCAAACACAGGCTTCTCAAGGGATTTCACATTAGAAAAGTACGATTGCCTTCCTTTGTAAGTATTCCAGAAATAAGTACTCCATACTTTTGTCTGTTTAATCCGTTGCTCTATCTCCAGTAGAATAAAGCACTACCAAGCACACAGACTCTTAAGAAATATTTGCTGAATAAATGAATTCAAGCTTTTCCCTAATTCTTACTGTCCTATGCAGACTCTGCCTCATTACAGTAGCTTAAATGATTCAAATCATTTTTCTTAAGGGGATCAGCAAAAACGGTCAGTAGGAGCCCACTCCATGATTGTGAAGCATCACGGAATTCTAGAAGCCGGGCTCAGGTCAGTCTAGGTCAGTTGGTCAGGCCAAACTAGATGAAATATTTCTTGCCATCTCCACATCTAAGAACTTTCTTGCTGAAAATAGTCAAAGGAAGCTAAACTCATCTTTCTTTAAACTACAGAGGGGGATAAAACGGCTGGAGCTTCCATGAATAATTTTAACCCTGGAGTCTTGAGGAAAGATCAGAGCCAGACTTAAGGCCAGCTAGCAGAATGTGCCAAGAATAGGAGACTGTGTAGGTTAAATGGTTGGCTGTGATAAACTCACTACACAGTATAAGCGGGTGCTGAGCTCAGCACGCAGCTCGACCCACAGCCTGTGGATTAGTACAGGAGAAGTACAGGTATCAGAGGCAGATTCTCCATAGGAAATGCCACATATCACCTGCTATGATTACCATGCAGATAACTGCTTTCATGAGGATGCACCCAGGGGTCACTGGGAGTCAGAACCCAAATCCTGGGATGCCTTTCCCAGGATGGTTAATTTAAAAAACTACAACAAACTAGTTGCCGTTGAGTCAGTTCTGACTCACGGGGACCCCATGTGTGTCAGAGTAGAACTATGCTACTTTGGGTTTTCAATGGTTGGTTTTGAAGGTAGATCGTCAGGCTTTTCTTCTGAGGTACCTCTTGGTGGACTTGAACCTCCAGTTCTTCAGTTAGCAGCTGACTGCCTAACCATTGGCACCACTCAGGGATTCCAATTTAAAAGCTACACTGCATTAATTAGGTACCTTCGAAGAAAAGGCAATATTATCAATTAAAGAGGTCAGCAAGTGGTACGCTGGGCTGCTGTCATGGTTTGAATTATGTCCCACCAAAAATGTGTGTATCCGTTTGGCTGGGCCATGATTCCTGGTATTGTGTGGTTTTCCTATATGTTGTAAATCCTGCCTCTGTGATGTTAATGAGGGAGGATGGGTGGTAGTTGTGTTAGTAAGGCAGGACTCAGTCTTCAAGATTGGATTGTATCCTGAGGCAATGTCTTGAGATATAAAAGACAGAACTGAGCAGACAGACAGGGGGACCACAAACCATCAAGAAAGCAGTGCCGGGAGCAGAGCGCGTCCTTTGGACCCGGGGTCCCTGCACAGAGAAGCTCCTAGTCCAGGGGAACACCGAAGAGAAGGCCAACAGAGAGAAAAAGGCTTCCCCAGGAGCTGATGCCCTGAATTTGGACTTTTAGCCTACTTTGACTGTGAGGAAATAAATTTCTCTTCCTTAAAACCATCCACTTGTGGTATTTCTGTTATGGCAGCACTAGATGACTAAGACAGCTGCTTAAATGTTTTTCTGAAAGGAACACCTGTCGGTTACCATACAGAGCTTGGTGTAGAAGCTTCCGTGTGGTCTCAAGAACTACTCACACCATCTCACAAGTAAAGTACAGGGGCAGAAGAGTGCTTGGAACTGAGAGGGAGAGTGGCGGCAACCTGCTAAAGAAAGCTGAATGGTCCTCATCTGAAGAATTATTCTTCCCTGTCTGGTGACAAGTACGCTTACTCTGTTGGTTTTACCTCACTGTTTACCTCATCTTTTTCATGTTGGTCTCCCCTACTGTACAGGGCCATCTTCTCTTACTTCTCTGTAGCCCCACTGCCTTGCAGGGGCCCTCAATAAATGTCGAGGTGAACGGAATGGTAAACAGTAGAAATGTCTGGCAATCGTGGGCTTGGGAAGGCCCTAAGGTCACTACTCAGTTATTATCCAGTAAGGGGCCAGACAAAAGGGGCTAAATATGTTCATCATTACTTATAACTGCTTCTCCATCAGCCAACTACTTGTTCTTAGTAAAATCTCACTGAAGTGAGTCAAAATCATGTGAAAAAGTCACCAACTCTAATACTCTTGCTTCTCTCTTCTACCCTGAACATACTAATAGGCAGAGTGATGTCAAAGAGCCCTTCAGGATCTCCAGAGAGATGTTCCAATCAAAGCACTGCTTCACAGGGCGTGGAAGTTGTTCTGACACAAAGGACTTACCAATGTTATAACATTCAGGTCCAGCAAAAGAGTTTCAAAATACAAAGCCTACAAAATTAATGCGAAAATGAAGTTTGCCTCTCTAAGCTGTCTAAACCAACTAGTCTCTAAATTGCTTATTTTTTTTTTTTTTTTTTACTATAAAACCATTTTATGACTTCCTGCTTAAAACTTACCAGCTCTTCTCCCTATGCCATTAGAAAAAAAAAAGAAGACTTGTCTTAAATTTTCCTTTCCGGTAACCATCCAAGGAGGTTTTGTTATTCACTGCAAATAGCTTTCACTCACAGTTAGCAGTACTGATTATGCATGCAAGTGTGCACACCATCCTGGAAAGTTCCATCAGTTTTCACAGCCTTAAAAATCCATAAATGATTGGACTAGCTACTGAATATGACTGCTATTTTTTCCTCTTTAAAACACTAGAATTTGAAGTACACATTTGTAATGCAGGCTGTTGCGTAGTACTACAAAACAAAAAAAAAGATAAAAATTTCTCTTGATTTGTTGACTGAGTGTGAATACTCAGAGAAAGTGGTCAGAAGAGTAGTTCTCAGGGAAAGAAGGAAAGCTTTTAGAAGGAAGGGTCACCAGGAGAGTTGGAGATCATTAATGCGAGGGTTTTGTCACTGCGGCATATAAATGCGGGGCACCGTGGAATGAGTCAGTAAGTGTGTTTTGATTAACTGATCAACCTCTGGGTTGGAGAAAATCCTGGTGGAGGCTATTCTGAAAGGCATGGACTCTTCTACTTCATTGTCATGGTTACAAAAGCAGCATGGAAGTCTAATCTCATTCTGACAAAGTTCACAGGGATAGTTAGATTCAAGCAGAGTCACTGGACCTTGAACATACAGGTTGAAACATATGGCCATTCTGTTGGAATGTGGAAGTATTTTTATGAGATTTCTTATTGATCCTGAGCCTGCCTGTGTACTTCCAAGAAAAACCCAAAAGTCAAATTGCTTTTAATTCTTAAAAACAAATGAAGAGTGAAATAGAGATGACCTTTGTATAACTGGGAAACAGGGAAAGATGTACAGCAGAACCTTGGCTAGGGAATGAAGGAAACAGAGAAGTAGGCATTGGATTCCCAGATATTTACGATTATCACAAAAGAGGCATGGAGACAAAGGATTTTGATTGAGGAGATTCAGATATTTTTCCTGGTTCTGCTACTTACAATTGTGACACATGAGGCAAATCATATATTTCTGTGAGAACCTTGTTTGCTGTAGTAAAGACAAGGATAATAGTATCTGCCTATTTGCTATCAAAAATAGCACTTCTCTGAAATTCTCTATTCCCCTTCCTTGCTTTATAGCAAATATTCAATTATTTTATTTTACACACACTCTCTCCCCACTGAAATGGAAGCTCCACGAAGACAGGAATTTATGCCTGTTTTGCTCGCTATGAAATCTGCAGAGCCGAGAACAGTACCTGGCATACTGTAGGTGTTCAACATACTTTTGTTGAGGCATGAATCTGTCCTGCCCTCATTTTAGGGTTACTGAAAGGATCAGATAAAATAATGGATGTTAAAAAGCTTTTTAAACTGCCAAGTGTAATGACTGTAATCTAGTATTTTGATTATTATCCAAGTTTTCTCAAGTGCCATACTCTACACAAAGCCCTTCAAATATCTCGTTTATGGCAGAGGATTTTCAAAGGAGGACTCCCCCTTGGTAATTGCTATTTATTTACTAAATTCAAGGTTGTGCATACTCAATGATATAACTGGTAAACTCAGTCAATTCTATTGGGTGGGGGGTGGGGGGAATCAATTAATATACATTGTGACAATTTTCACCCTAAACTACCAGCTAAGTGACTGACCTTTTCACTTTTTAAACAATTGTGTTGATGTTCTGAAGACACATCATGAGTTTTAATTAGGTCTTGACTTAGATGATAGGTAGAGTCTTTTCTAGGAAAGATTTTTGTTAAGAATTCTGGGGTTAAAATAATGTGTATAAGACAACTAACTGTATCAGCAAAGACACACACACATCTTTTACATATGTTCTAACCAGCCTGATTTGCTTTTAATGTATTTTCTGACAGATCAATTTAAATACCAGTCCTTAAGTATGTTTTCCAATGCCCAAATTGAAAAACATTAAGGTAAATTACACTTTAACTGCCCTACAAATTATATTTTCCAAAAAAATTCATTTATTATTATTATTTTGCTTGGTTCTAGCATTTGTTTTGTTGGCTTGAGGACAGGATCACAAACTTCACCTCCTAAACTCTGTCAGACACTCAACATTGGGTAAATAGACAGAGAGGACTTGGTTACTGGTAGTTTTGTTTGTTTTGCTTTCAAATTATTTCTTTATAGATTCTCTTAATGAATATCCTTGTACAAATCTTCTGTAGGGGTTTTGGTATCATGACAAACTTCTCTGAATTATTAACCACCATATGAATAATCTAAAGAATCTATAACAAGAATCTGTAACAAGACCCCTTTTAATTTATAAGCTCAAGGGTAAGAGCTGCAGTTTTTCCACATACTGTAAAGTTCTGTGCAAGAGTGAATGGCAGTAATCACAATTACTACCTCATTTGCTGCTTTTAGTCCATCATTTAGAAGTTCATGAATATTACCACGGAGGGCTGAACACAAGCATCTCTTCCAAGTGCATAGCTTTTTTGAGGTTTTTGTATTTTTAATAATTTTAATAATTCTTTGAATTAATGTTTACTTAGTTATCCTAAGACCTAAGAGGTTTCCTGATAAAAAAAAAATTAGTATTTTTACATTTTCTGCATGCTTTCATAGTTTTTGACTTGAGAAATGGCTTTTCAGAAAAATATTTAAAGCCCAAAAAGTAATTTATAGTTCACTCACTGGAGCAGTGAATTTATGAAATCAACAGTCTTTCATTTTCTTGCTGTGAAAGACAGACTTTGTTCTCCTTGATGAATTCACCTATTATCTCACTCTTTGCCCAGAAGGAATTCTCAGCAGCCACTTTAGCAGACAGTCACAGGGACTGACAGGTAGAGACATAAACAACAGAGAATAAGTGGAAAATGCCTCATCAATGTAGCCAGCTGAAACATACCCAGAAGAAGCAAGACTACACAGCAATACTTTCACCTCTGGTTTATGTAGTCTCAACAATCTTGTTTAGAATAATATTCATTCAGATGCAGACAATCATAACCATACTAAAAATTTCAATTTAAATAACTCAATACAGGATGTCAAAGATACACTTACCTCTTGTTCAGTTACTTTGGATCCATCTTTGCCCTCTGAATTCTCTGGAGACTAAAAAGAAAATATTTCAGTGAATTGTATTTAAATTGGAAAGCACATATTAGAGGGAGATACCAAAAATAAAAAATGCTATTTCAAATCCCTGGATCACATAAGCCAATAGATTTTTTTTGCAAGGAAAAAGTAAGTTTGTAAGAGAATATGTTTTACACACACACTGTATTTATCTGCATAACTGCTCTACTTTTAAAACAGGAGAGATGAAAAGCTGCTATGAGCCCCTGTTCTCAATGTGCATTCACTCTAAATGATTTTCACCTATCTTCCATGACTCCACCGCTGGTCAAAGAACAAGGAGCCACTGTCAGTGGCAGATGTGACTGGAATCCACCGCATGCTCCTGTTACTTTGTTCCTTGAAGATGAGGGCAGGAAGCTGGGAAAGCCCAGGCCAACCAGGAAAAGGATATTTTCATCCCATACTTACCTACTTTTGATTTCTAACCCATTTCTTGGTATGACTTGATAAATTTATCATGGATTATTATTTTTCCATTATCAACTCCAGCATCTCTACTTCACTCACAGCCTGGCCTTGACAGCCAGGCGCCCTGCCACCCCTTATTTCCCAGTGGTGATATATCCCATGGGGCAGCACTTGTCCATGCTCTGGACAGCTCTAATCTGACTGCTTTACAGGCTGCATACAAGGGAAAAATATACTCAGATTTATACGGCATATCCCAATATATTTTTACTGGCTAAAAAGTTAGTAAATAAGGGTAAAACAAACTAGTGAAAAACTGAAACTATTAAACATATTTTAAAAAAGCTAGAAGGTAATACTCAAATCTCCATGGCACAAGTGAGCAAAGGATAAGAATAAAGTTCCCATAAGAAAAAATACAAATGGCAATCAGATTTGGTACATTGTTTAGCATAGCAAAATAAAACAGCTATAAGGTAATGCCTCAAACTGATAAAATGTGAAAAATGTTAAAAAGTTAATAAAACTCACTGTTGGTTGAGGTTAGTGACACTGCAGATTAATACACTCTTTCCAAAAAACAACTTGGCAATATGAAAAAGACACATAGGGCTAATCATACGATGACCTGATAATTCCAATTTTGGAACTAGGACTCAAAGAAAGAAACTCTGTACAAATATGGTTTTATTTATCCTATTTATAGTATCTACCACCTGTCTGTTAGTCTGTAGTACTGTGGTGGCTTCTGTGTTACTATGATGCTGGAATCTATGCTATCAGTATTTCAGATACCAGCAAGATCATCCATGGTGGGCAGGTTTCAGTGGAGCTTACAGACTAAGACAGAGTAGGAAGAATGGCCTGGTGATCTACTTCTGAAAATTAGCCAATGAAAACCCTGTAGATCACAACAGAATACTGCCCAATATAGTGCTGGAAGATGAGCCTCCTAGGCTGGAAGACACTCAAAATACATAGTGGCTGAGACAATGGACTTGAGCCTAGCAATGACAGTGTAGATGCTGCAGGACCAGGCAATGTTCAGTTCTGCTGTACATGTGGTCTCCATGAGTTGCAACTGATTCAACATCATCTAACAATAACAATATTTATAATATGGAAAAGCTGAAAACAACTCCCATGATCAGAAAAAATAATAAGAGAAATGTTTAAATAAACTATGTATTTGTTAATGCAATGGATGGAAAGAGTCACTGGGCTATGTGACTACATGGAAAAGTATTCATAAAATAATGCTAAATTAAAAAATTTGGATCATAAAATAGTATGTTAAACATAGGTCATAAATACATAAAGTCTTAGTGAAGGACAGAAGTTTTCCTTCAAGGCAAAGGACATAATGCACCTTCTCTACTCCCCTGGGACTGCCTGCGCTCCCAATATATCATATCAGTTCACCTCTCTCCAAGAACTCCATGCCCATGGCGTTCTATTTCCGGGATCAACCTTAACCGACTTTCCCTCCTCCAGTGAACCGTCTCAATCATGAAAGGAAACAGTTTTATCTTTTATGTTCCCCACTCTCTTGCACAGGAATGTCTGGTTCACAGATCTTGCTTTAAGATGAGTTAGAAGGAAGCAAAATCTTAGAAAGTTTGAGCATATGAGGTCAATCCCTGGTTGGGCCATTCAGCCTCCCTTGTACATGGAATCTCCATGGTTGGGCCATTCAACCCCCCTTGTACATGGGCTCTCCATGAGTTGCAGCTGATTCAACGGCATTTAACAACAACAATATTTATAATATGGAAAAGCTGAAAACAACTCTCATGATCAGAAAAAATAATAAAAGGATGTTTGTTGGCTACAAACTTGATCTTTCTGGTCACAAACCAGACCCTCTGTTGTGTAGGAGTAATGGGCTTTCCCTCACACCTGTCAGGCCACTCAACAGATTTCAGTCCAACCTGTAATTGACACACATTTAAAGAAGCATTAAACAGCTATACTGATTCTAACTGATGTTAATGATATCACTTTCAATATTCCTCATGCAGTGGTTAGTGATAGGCAATAAGACCAAGAGATCATTTTTTAAACACTACCTAATAACATTTGTACTGGATATAAATTATTGGAAAAGAAAAACTTTGGAGAGACACTGCAGAAAAAAAGCAGGTATACTAACAACGTTAATACTTTCAGAAGAATGAACCTAAGACTCTAGATGTGAAGAGCCACAACTCAGGGCAAAGCTGGTTTTTCTGGCAATTTTTCCACAGTGGTTTCTATTAGCAGGCGTATAAGAAATTTGCCGTCATGAACAACTGATGTTTACCCTGGTATCAGTGTGGTACTATGGCCTGAATGTAGCATGCAGGGTCAGGACACTGGGCTTGAACGTGTAGCTCTGCACTTAGGGGAGCTGTGTGATCTGGGTGGTAACTTGATCACAGGGCTCAGTCTCTTCACCTGTAAATGACAGATGATGATGACATCTAACTCAAGGGTCATGCTTAACGATCACAGGAAATGTCTTGCTTATGATCAAGTGAGATCAATTCATAGCCTGTCAATTATTATACAGACGTTATGCAATAAAAAGATAGAAGATCTTAATGAGTCTTCTGAATTATCAAATATGAAATTATAGTCAACAGAGCCTTAAAGTTGAGCATATTTTCTTACATCCAGATTCCCCGCAAATTTGTTACCTTTTCCCTCTGAGAGGTGCTTTCATGTTTGGTTTGCTTGTTAGTTTCTTGTGCCTTTTAAGGCGTTGCTTATGTGGAAATAGATCCTACTATCTGTTCTCCACCGTATGTTGACCCTACGCTTTGTTTCCTGTCCCTTCTATCACTAACAAAGAAGAAAAAAACTATCTGCCCCATCAGATTTCAAGACTCAGAAATAATAAAATAAACAATACAGGTAGCTAACACTTAGATAGCAGTATGATACTTAAAAGAGACACCAAAAACTCAAGGACACAGAAAGTTTGAGAGTAAAAGGATGTTAAAAAATGTATACTAAAGCTAAAATTAACTAAAAACCACAAACAACCCAAATATCTTATTGTTTTTGTCATCAGGAGACTAGTTAAATACATCATGGTGTAGTCATATAATGAATATATACTGTAGCGCAAACAAATGAACTACAGGTACACATAACAACATAGTTGAATCTCACAAACACAATATTAGACAAAAAAAGCAAGTCATGCATGATTCTAAATAAAGTTTAAAAATGTAAATATCTGGTAAACATAAAGAAAAGCAAAGGAATAATAAAAACAAAATCAAGATAGAAGTTACCTCTGGGTGGGCAGGGTTATTTGACTAGGATGAGACAAAAGCATTGGTAATGTTATATTTTTATGCAGGATGGTGAATACAATGACTTATTTCATTATTATTATTTAAATCATATACATATGTAGATACTATGTATGTATGGTGTATTTTATATGAAAATATCTTTAGCTTTATAAAAACATGAGAAGTTTTGAACAGGTAGTTGTTTTTTTAATTATAAATGCTGAAAATGAAAAGTACACTCTTTGAAATAAAAAATTCAAAACATTGATAAACTTGACCAGAGACAGTAAAAGAAGGAAATAATGAATTGTCAGAGATTGCTGAGGAATTAGCCTAGAAGGAAACATAGAAAATAAAGAGATGAACAATAAGAAAGAGAGGTTAGGAGACATGGGGGAATAAACTGGGAAATTCCACATGTATCTAACAGACATCGCAGAAAAAGAGAAAAAAGGCAAAGACATAATGTCTGGGAATTTTCCCAAACTGAAGTCATGAGTCTTCAAATAGAAAGTTCACACCAAGCAATAAATTAGAAAACAAAACAAATAAAAATACAAAGAAACGTACTGTAATAAAACCACAGAACATCAAGGAAAACGAGAAAAATCTTAAGTTATTGGAGATAAAAGACAAATTATTTACAAAGAATTACTTCACACAAGAAATTAAAAATATAACAAAATACAGAGTACTTTTCAAAGAGCTGAGAAAAAACTGTCAACCTAGAATTCTATACGTACCTAAACTCTCATTCAAAAGTGAGGGAAAAAGAAAGCCATTTTATAATGTAAATACTAAGAGAGTTTACCATCAACAGAACCTTTCTTTCAACAAAGATCTACTACTACAGGATCAAATTTAGCAAAAAGAAAAATGAATCCAGAAGGAAGGCTTGGACATAAGAATGCATTAAATATAATGGTAAATATAATGAACTATTGCCTATAAATAATACTACCTATTTTTTTGCATGTTTTAAAAAGTTTCAGTAGAATTTAAGACGAGAATATAGAAATGTCCTATAAAAACATAATGCAAGTCACACATGTAATTTAAAATTTTCTAATAGCCACATTAAAAAAGTAAAAAGAAACAGGTGAAATTAATTTCAATAATATAGTTTATTTAATTGAATAGATCTAAAATACTATCATTTCAATATGTACTCAATATGAAAATCATTAATGAGATATTCTACAGACTTTTTGTACTAAATCTTCAAAATCCGGCATGTATTTTTCACTTACAGCACATCTCCATTCAGATGCTAAATTTACA